TTGATAGCGCGCAAAGGTCCGTTTACGCCGGTTGCTAAGCAACATCGTTATGGGGAAATGCAAGTTTGCGTCCAAATGGTTGGAAGATAAGGAGGAAGGACAATCAATACTGTATATAGTCAATGTGACGTAAAGTGTGTCGCCAAGGTAACCTGTTAAAACTCGAAGTGGCGATGAGGTCTTAAAATGTATGGAAAGGGTCTTAAAAGGAATTACCTTTGACTTCAGGATTCCTGCAGATACCCTGTTAAATGAGTTTCCATGGAGGTGACAACTGAGGGGATTTGTTTGACTGCCCTTTAGGTCTCAGCTGGATCTTTAACCACCTCTGTGTTTACAAGCTCTTAGACAAAAACAGACAATTAAGCCTTTGATTTGTGAAATTACATAATGCCTGCTGCAAACGAGCTGCAAAGCTTAGTCTGATAGAGGAAAAATAATCATGAATAATATTGACCCAAAAATGCTTTTCAGCATCAAATATGGTGTTTTTTTTGTCCCTAAGATATAATATTAGTGAACATTTACTATAACTTATAACTTGGAGATTTTATACAATTCTTTTGACTTTCTATCAGTGGTTGGGAAGTAACCTAATCAAGTATAATACTTATAGACATTTGTACACAACTTTACCATTTATGCCACTTTATACTTCTCAACTACATTTAAGAGGCAAACATGGTACTTTTTACTAAAAATGTTTTAACACTCACAGTTACTCTGTTCATTTAAACATGATATGCTTATCGTGTAATGCAGTAGGCTACTAGTAAAATCTACATTTGGTCGACATTGACTAATTTAAATACTAAAATATCAGAACATGTATTAATACACTCTTAAAACTACTGGGTTAAAAAAATAACCCAATCATAACCCAGCTGCTGAGTCACCATAGAACAGAACAAGCGCTGGGTTGTTTTAACCCATGTGCTGGGCTGGATAATTTTAACCCATACACTGGGTTGTTTATTTGACCCAAGCTAGTGATTGAAATTATATCACTGGGTTAAATATAAACCATACATTGGGTTGTTCATCTGACCCAAGCTATTGAATACAAGGATAATACAATTACCACAAATCTATTCTGCATAAAGAGTACTTTTACTTTTGATACCTGATGTAAATTTAGCTGATAATACTTCTGGACTCATATTGAAATATTCCATTATGTAGAATGAGCACTTTTACCTTTGGTACTTAAAGTGTATTTTGATGCTAAATACTTTTGTAGGCCTACTTGAAATCTGGACTTTTACTTGTAATGGAGAATTTTAGACCGTAGTATTTGTACTCAAGAAATGGATATCAGTACTTCTTCTAACACTGCTTTCTAGACCGATTGATTTAGAAAATATTGGACAGAAAATCATTAATGAAAATAATTGTTGGTTGCAGCCCAAAGAGATAATGTTTCACATGTTTTCCATAAAATACCGGTAATCAGCATCACTGAAAAATTTAGCCATTTAATTTCTTGGAATTATTTTTTCCTCATAAACGAAACCTGTTCAGTCTGTTTAAAGTACAGTCTCCATGCTGTGTTAAACTCACACAGATCCGGGATCAGTTTGTGTGCTGCAGTGTCCCTGCACTGTGACTGGGAGCACTCATTATGGAAATGGAGCCACCGGGTTTATATCGATCAGGCTGAAACAACAGTCTCTCTCTGAAACATGCAAAAATAAATTAAGGTCGTAAATCTCACAGAAACCCTGGGGATTCAGACGGATTAAGAGGACGAGGCCAAGGACTGTTTAAACTTCTGCTCCATGTTCAAGAGAAGGGGTGGGGGGGGGGGTTTGAGAGAAGTGCAGATTTTTTTTGTGCCTGTTTTCTCTTGTCTCTCAGTCATAACCAATTCATTAAATACACTACAGTTATACAAGAGGTGCACTTCAATTAAAGTGGCCCTATTATGCGTATCCCTTTCCTGTTGTGTGTCGTATATGTTTTTGTGCATGTAAAAGGTCTACGAAGGCTAAAATCCCTGGCTGAAGTCGAATAGTCCATTTAGCTTAGGAACTTCCTAACGGAGTGAAATGACCCGGAAGTCCCTCAGTGGCAGCCATGATAAGTGCCAATTCGAATACTCTAGATCAGGGGTGCCCACACTTTTTTGGCTGGTGAGCTACTTTTGAAATGACCAGCTCACCGAGGTCTAGACAACCAAAAATAAAATCCCAAATTGCTAAGGGGTTTCTGAATAACACGTTTTATTTATACATGGGATAACTACAATAGGGCTGCAACAAAACGACTAATTTGATAATTGATTAACCTATCGATTAATGAAACGATTAATCGACTATTCGGACTATTACTGTATGCCTTTNGCACGTGCATGTTAAAGGGGTACCAGTGGAGGGACTGCGAGACAGAAGGTCCCTTGGGCTTCAGGGGTCTTTAGTGTGTGTGTGTGTGTGTGTGTGTGTGTGTGTGTGTGTGTGTGTGTGTGTGTGTGTGTGTGTGTGTGTGTGTGTGTGTGTTAATTCCATGAGGAGGCACAGGAAGTCATTCCTGCCTGAGGCCGTCAGACTCTTTAACGCAGCACTTCTTATGTGTCAATAATAGTTTATTCTTTTTATTTTATTTGATATTTTATGGCACATTCTTACTTAATGTTATTCTTAATTGGAACAACTGTCAGGGAAACCCACTGTCACCCAAGTATTTCCGATTCTGATTTTGAAAATATCTGGTACAGAACACCTTTCTAAATCCTAACTCTCTTTCCTCAGAGCTGTTGAACTTCTCCAGTCCACGTCCTCTGAAGAAGCGCTGGCCTTTGCTCTGGGCAGCTATGGCCGTGCATTGTGGTAACAACAGCTTAACCATGTGCTTGAACCATCTCTGACAACACTTACAAAACACAGCAAACTCAATATGTTGCATGTCCCACTGTGTCCCTTGCAGCACCTCAGGGCAGTCGGAGGAGGCGGTGCGTGTTTATAGCTCCACCCCCCTGCAGGAGCTCAGTGATCTGGCTGGTCTGGCTCTGTCCTCCTGCAGGGCCGGACTCATCCCAGAGAGCATCAGCGGTGAGGACTGAACAATCAGAGAGGGTGTTTGTGTTTACCTGCCAGAGGGACTGTGACTTAATGATTGTGTGTGTTCTGTAGCCTATGAACGTGCCTCGGCTGTGGCTTCCAGTGAGAAGGAGAAGGCGTACATCCTGACAGCTCTGGCGCTGCTTCAGCACCGGCTGGGGAACCTGGACTCAGCCAAGACTCTGCTGTTTAAATGGTGAGTCCACTGGGGTTTTGGATACTGATAGAGTGGTGCAGGAATACTTCCTAAAACCCAGAAATTAATTAGCATTAGACCATTTCCAGTTCCCTTGTCTCGATGTCAATGTTTTTTTGAACGTGTTCTTGGTTAGGTGTCTGAAATAGGTTCTCTGGTTAACAGAAACTTAAGAAATGTTCATGTTTGGTTCTGCAAAAGCATATACGCTAGTAAACATCCCACACGCTTTCTGCCTAAACAGCTCGATGCTGAAGGAGCCAATCCCGGAGTCTCTGCTGTGTTTATGTGCGCTGGGATTGGTCCAAAGTGATGCTACGCTGAGTGCTGCTGCGCTGACGGAGCTGCTGAAGCAGGGTCCAGCCTCTGGGAGTGTGATCGAGCAGCGGTGTCTGCTCACCTGCGCCCTGCTCGCCCTGCAGGGGAACTACAGCGCCGTGCAACGAGAGGCTTCCAGAGCTGTGCACAGGTAACGCATGACAGATTTAAGATTTGGAGACACGTATGTTTGCTGCATGTACCGCTAGATGTACTGTTATAGAGAGGCGAAGTCCCTCCCTTTCCGGGGGAGCTCCATGGGACCTTATTTCAGAAAAATTATGCATTGAAGTCAATGGAGAGAGAAAGATTATCTTTCGATCCCGTTTGAATTGTGCCACGAATTACACATATGATGTTTGTCAATTTAAAAGAAAATTTGACAAGTCAAAAAAATAAAAATGTGTCGTAAAACTGTGAAGTAACACTTTTTTGTGTGCAAACTGCTCAATGAACTACATCTCCCGTCTCGCACCACACACCAAGACGGCCGTCACGTTGACACATTTCACTTCTTTCTTTCAAAATGAGGCAAAAAGTATTAAAAGAGGTGAAAATCACTCCAAGTCTGGGCATGTTGAGAGCTGTACATACACACAAGGGACCGGGATTCTGGGATTTGTAGTCTTTCTAGTATTTTTCATAGTCTTATATTTCAACAGTTTTAAGACAAACTGTGACTTTTTTGACATGGAAATTNGGGGACCTCCATGGGACCTTATTTCAGAAAAAGTATGTATTGAAGTCAATAGAGAGAGAAAGATTATCTTTCTGTTTGTCAATTTAAAATAAAAATACAAAAGTGTCGTAAAACTGTGAAGTAACACTTTGTGTGAAACCGCTCAATGAACTACATCTCCCATCTCGCACCACACACGAAGACGGCCGTCACGTTGACATTTCACTTCTTTCTTTCAGAATGAGGCAAAAAGTATTAAAAGAGGTGAAAATCACTCCAAGTCTGGGCATGTTGAGAGCTGTACATACACACAAGGGGAGTGAGTCGGTTTGTAAGAGCCAGCATGCGGGACCGGGATTCTGGGATTTGTAGTCTTTCTAGTATTTTTCATAGTCTTATATTTCAACAGTTTTACGACAAACTGTGACTTTTTTGACATGGAAATTATTATTTAAGATTGACAAACATCATATGTGTAATTCGTGGCACAATTCAAACGGGATCGAAAGATAATCTTTCTCTCTCCATTGACTTCAATGCATACTTTTTCCGAAATAAGGTCCCATGAGTCCCACCGGAAGGGGAGGGTCTTCGCCTCTCTATTAGCTTTGGTCCCTTGTGGATAGAAAATGTCAAAGCTTATGTAATTTACAGCAATCCTGGAAACCCGTCTCTGTGGGCCCTGCTGTCCAGACTGGTTCCACAATACTACCCAAGGAAGGCAAATGTAAGGAACATTTTATATACATACATTTATTTGAACAACCTGATCCACTCTTGCTCTAGGTAGGACAATTAAAGTGATGTTATTTTCCTCTGTGTATTCAAGGGTGGAGCGATGGCTGGTCATGTTGCCTGTCTCTCCAGTATGACCCTAGGAAAGGTAAAATATTGAGTATATATTTATATCTTTTGGTCTTTCTATAACTTGTGTAAGCGCAATTATTTTAAATGGAAAACTGTTGATATGTCAGTTTGCAAAATACATTTTAATGGTACAAAACTGTCAATACTGACTTTGGTATCTTGCCAGTGGTTTGTAAAGGAATCTGATGTCCCTTTTGGTCCTGCAGAGAGCGTTGTTGTACAGTGGAGTGAACCAGCTGGCTAATGGGAAACACTCTGGAGAGGACAAACACAGGAATGCACTGAAGACTATGCAGAGAGCTGTGATGCTTTGTCCTGGTATACACACACACACACACACATACACACACACACACACACACACACACACACACACACACACACACACACACACACACACACACACACACACACACACACACACACACACACACACACACACACACACACACACACACACATAAAACTACCTCGAAAACAACCACACAACATGTCATGGGAGGATAATAGTCCGTAATAGGAAATAAATGTGTTATTATTTCAATATTGAGTTGAATTGTACTGAAATATTTTGTATGGCACACCGCTTTAAGAACCTTCATCTACACAAGTGTTGTTAATGTATACAGGAAATTAAGTTTTGCAGCAGTCTGGGACGATTAGCTTGTTTTTTTGTTATCCCTTTGAAATGAATGTTTAGCCCCCTTACACCTACCTGGTAAGAACACTGTGAGACGTCCCCGGTGATCTCATCCTCCGCTCTTCTCTTTAATTCCAGATGATCCAGCCACGTGGGCGGGATTAATGGCTGCCTGTCACACAGAAAACACTTCCTGTTACCTTTCAGGTTCTGCTCCTTGCAGACGAGGACTAGAGCAAACCCTCATGTCAGTGGTTTCAGAGAAAGGTGTGTGCTTTGTGCATTTTATGGATTTGTTTTGTATGTGTTTCAGAGAATAAGTGACTTGTTGTTGTTTCCCAGTGCATAATGTGGAGGAGATCGAGCGCCCTCTTGCACAGACTCTGGAAGGCTGGGTGCTACAACAAGCAGTGACTGGTCTCATGCTGGGAGGACAGCTGGAGCAGGCAGAAGCCCTCTGCACACAGGTGACATATAAACACCCTTTCACACACAACCTCAATATTTCCCTTACAATTACTTCAATTGTTAAAGAATAAAACTTGTTCCTGAAATAAATATGTAAAAAATGAAGTAATACAAGTGACCTTTGTGCCTTCTTTGTCCCAGGTGCTGAGTGCTTCTCCAGAGCACCCGGCAGTGATGCTGTCCCTGAGACAGGTGCAGTGTCAGCGCCTCCTTTTGGCCGGTGGTGGTACTGTCCTGCCAGACTCCGTGCTGGAGCAACTAAAAAACACAGTGATGATGAACCCCACAAACCTTGGGGGCTGGCATGTAGGTAGACACACATCAGACCAGTCTTTGTATCGCAGTGACTTAATGATAGCTTTGGTGTGTGGCGCAGTGGACTAGTGCGTTGTTGTTGGGATCAGGGGGAGCACAGGTTCAAACCCCACTGCAGTCAGCATGTCGTTGTGTCCCTGAGACACTTCACCCCAAATTGCTCCTGTGGGGATTGTCCACAGTATTTATTGAGTATGTAAGTTGCTTTGGATAAGCGTCTAACATGTAACATGTAATGTAATGTTATACTCCTTTATTGCAAGCACCAGTTGTTTATAACACAATCAGAATCAGAATACCTTTATTAGTCCCACAGAGGGGAAATTTGCAGCGTTACAGCAGGAAAGAGCCACAGACAGCTTAGTGTTGCATATCTTACATGCGTTAAAAAAGTACTAAGTTATAATATAATAAACAATATGCAAAAAAAGATAAAAACTAAAAAAGTTACATAATTTTCAAAAATACAGATCAAAAACAAATCAAATCTACAAATCAAATCCTGGAGCAGTTCTTAGGATTTAGCAGCCCGGTATATATTACAGTTATTAAAGATGGCATATGTATATAAAGTATATATTGCACATAGTTTGACGGTATTTAACAGCAGCAAGTCACACAATACACAATATGACACTGTTCACACAGACTTGCTCTACTGAAGTCTATAAAGAGGCTTTAACATATTCTCAGTCTGCGATGATGGGTGTTGAGTTCAGCGAAATAATGAGATGTATTTTTCTCTTCATCACAAAAGCCATTTTCTATTGCTTCTGCTCTGACCCAAGAAGACCACATCTGTCATATGACTCACATAAAATGGATGCTACCAGCCGGGGGAAGATGCAAAGACACTAGGCTATTTCTCTTTAAAGCCATGCATATATTGGCAGATGTAGCCCTGACCAATAATGTAACAAATAATATAATGTAATGCTCGGCAATGATGTGTTCTGTAAGTCCTTAAATATACTGGTAAAAACCTTTTTTGGTTTCAATTTCAAGTAAGAGGCGGAGGATTGTTTTTCAGTGATTATCATATAAACTCTTCAGTGAAGAAAAATTACCAATTTGAGGTCTTCTGATCTTTTCAATATGTTCTCTTACCTTCCTCTTCCTTCCTCTACCTCTTCTGTTTCCTCCCGCTTGTCCCTCATTCTCACCTCTACTCCCACTCATCCTTGATTTCCAAACCCCTCCCCTGCTCTCCGTGTCTCAGTGGCTGGCCGAGGTGTATCGTAGCCAGGGTCTGCTCCCCCAGGCGGTCATGGCCTACAGGCAGAGTCTGCAGATCTCCTCACAGCTCGGCCTGCACATCAGCCAGATTTCCTCTCTGCTGCGACTTGCCCTGCTGGCCCTGGGACCCTCGATGGTGAGTTCCCAATGTGTTACATCCTGTATCTAGATCCAAAAGATTTCAGATTCAAGTACAGCTATCACAGCACAACTATCTGAGATCTTTTTCCTGCCATACTGTGGCCATGAATAAGAGCATTTTAGAAAAGTATGGGTCATGCAAACGGTTAAGATTAGCACTGATTAAGGATTAAGGTCTTTTGCCCCAGGAGTAATGTTCTTTTTTTTTTTTTTATTCTTTATTTATTTGGGGTCACATTATAGTACAAGTACAGTTTTTCAAATCATATATTTTTAGAGACCCGAAAGTGACAAATGAAATAGCAAACAAAATTAATCAAAGTAAAATAAAAACGAAAAAGTACACGGGGGTTGTTTGAAATAGCAAATGTCTACACATGTACATGCATACATATCAACATACAGGACTGTCTCAGAAAATTAGAATATTGTGATAAAGTTCTTTATTTTCTGTAATGCAATTAAAAAAACAAAAATGTCATACATTCTGGATTCATTACAAATCAACTGAAATATTGCAAGCCTTTTATTATTTTAATATTGCTGATTATGGCATACAGCTTAAGAAAACTCAAAAATCCTATCTCAAAAAATTAGAATAGTTCCTCAGACCAAGTAAAAAAAAAAGATTTATAACAGCAAAACACAATCAAACATTTGAAAATGTCCATTAATGCACTCAGTACTTGGTTGGGAATCCTTTTGCACGGATTACTGCATCAATGCGGCGTGGCATGGAGGCAATCAGCCTGTGGCATTGCTGAGGTGTTATGGATGCCCAGGATGCTTCAATAGCGGCCTTTAGCTCATTAGCATTGTTGGGTCTGGTGTCTTTCAGCTTCTTCTTCACAATACCCCACATATTCTCTATGGGGTTCAGGTCAGGGGAATTTGCAGGCCAATCGAGGACAGTAATGCCATGGTCAGTACACCAGTTACTGGTGGTTTTGGCACTGTGGGCAGGTGCCAGATCATGCTGGACTGAGACTGCCAAGGCACGAC